CACCAACTTTAATTTTAAGTACGTACGTTTTTGTTTTGTTTTTATTCTCCAAATCCGTAAACAATATGGAAGAAATACAATATTTTATGATCAACAAAAAATTTGAGGACTATGTGTCGGGTTTCATTCCACCGAACTTGTTCATTCGCGTACGAAAAATCTAATATATTATAGTCAAGTCAACCATCAAAATTTAGTCCAAAAGTAAAAATCCGAAATCGATCAAATGCTTAGTTCATAAAAATTGGAAAAAGGAAAAAAAAAATAAACTTCATCAAAAACAATGTTAGGACTACATATTTATGCACCAATCCTATCTCTAATCACACATAAAGCATATCATCCTCACTTCACTTCACTCGTAATTAGACTCAAGTGGGTATTTTAGATGTTTCTTATGTATCCACATTAGTTTTATACAATTTAGTAACCTGACTACGCTGATGTTCATGTTAAGATAGTCTTGTGTTGGAAGAATTCATGATCATTTGAACATAGGATCTCTGACAAGGAGGGTTTTTTGTGTCCAATTTGAGTTCCCTCATATATTGTCTCCCAGATGAGTGAATCGAGTATACGAAAATTGACCATCAAGTGAGTGGAAACTCCTTTAACCTGATCGAGGGAATTATCTTGATCAATGGAAAAGGGACATAAGTTGAGTGACCGCAATACATCGAGTTGGCCGCGGCCTAGTCGAGACGACCGAGGAAAACCATGATTTTTTCTAACTGTGCGGCCTTGGATAAATTCAACTTAGGTAGGATTAAGGGAGGTCTAAGCGAAGTTCTGATCAAAGAAAAATCGATTTCTATCGAAGAAATTTGAATCCCGGTCGAGAAACAGATTTTTGGTCGAGCCAGTATGTGCCGCGGGTAAAGCAAACCATGCCGCGACTCGATGATTGATCGGAACTGCCAAGGGTAATGTTTTCGATCGCGTGGTTGAAACTACTGATCCGGTTTAGTCGTGGGTGACAGTGTCGCCATATGCCAGGCATGCATGCGTCGCTGTCGGAGGCTGGGGGAACTGCCATGCCACATGCCGATCAAACCACCGTGTGGGCCGCAAAATATCAATTTGCGAATGCTCTCACAATTAAAACTGTTAGTCTCGACTATGTTTTCATACTGCATACTCCAAGATTAGAATCATTAGAGTCCCTGCATTTTAAGAAGGATTAATGATGTAGTGCAACGCAATTCATGTACTGTGGGCTTCTCGCAAACACGTTGGAGGCTGTTACGTGT